CATTGAGAGCTGAAAGAGGCAAATGTAATATTTATTACAAGACTGACATTACCAATAATTTTTACCAGGAACTAGACTTTTTAAATAAATCTCATCTTAAAAAAACTCCACTGCCACCTTCTAAGACTACACCGTGCGGTATTCATGAAAACAAAAGGGAGGAACATATTGACAGATTAAAACAAGTTCTTCCAGATAACAGAAAAACATTTTGGAAAAATTTGCCCGTCAACTTTACTTAACTTTGTAAGTCTGAAATGTTATATTTATTTTTAATTTTTAAGTTTGAATAATATGAGTTCTTTTTTTATATGCTGTTAACTTTAATAAATAAGACATTTTTTCTATTGGATATTGTAACTATACAATGTTATTTCTATTACAAAAGTATAATAATTATATTATTATTTGTTTATGATATTAAACTATTTCAAGATAGAAATGTAATGTAAAAATATATTTTTAAGTTTTAATAATATGATTTTTTTGTATGATTTTAACTTTATTAAGTTGCTTAACCATTTCTGCTTAACCGCTTTGTTTTGATTTACATATCAATATGGCTGTTGTCCATTTCAATATCATTTTAATAGCTTTTATAAATTATTAAATTCTATGGTAGTCTATGAATTATAAACATATTTAAAAAGTAATATAATTCAGTAATTTTTTTTTCTTCATATTATAAGTATTAATCATCATCAATAGAAAAATAAATTGTAGTTAAAAACATTCAATGTACAACTAGCATCAAAATTAAATGTAATGGAGATACTGCATTTGTAAAAATTAACTTTTTATTTAGATATGTATTGTCATACTAAAGTAAAATGCAGTATCTCCTAAAAAGTCAATTTAAAGGTCAAAATAATCAATTAATTTAAAAAATAATAACAATTATACACAGTATGCTGATTTCACGTATAAAGTGAAAAAAAAAAAAATTATGAAATCTGATTATTTTAAGGTAAAAAATGATGAAATCTAAAAACTTATTTTCCCAATATTTTGGTTTTTGGAGATACTGCCTTTCTCTTTAGGAGGGCAGTATAGGTAGTTACTTAAGATTTGAAATAATTTAGTCACTCTGATTAGAATCCAAATGAATAGTCTATACTCTATACAACGTATTCAACGCTCGTTCGTTGAGAATCGGCGATTAATAAACGCAGTAGAAATCGACAAGAAAAACCCAACAAAATCAGCAGATAACAAAAATTAGATTTTAAAACCAAATACCTAATACGAAATTATCGTAATAATACGATTGACAAAAATCCAAAAACAATTTTACTAAAATATAATTTCATAAAATATGACCGATTTTGATTCAAAACAGGTAAAAATGCAAAAAAATCTCAAAAGTCCAAAAAAAGCACTGAAAACTAAAAAATCGTAAAATATGCAAAAATAGCAAAATAAAATTTTTAATTTGAGTTCTATGTACTTATCACGAAACAAATGTTTAGCTTACTCTGATATTTTTTAAGCATTTCATACGAAATATGCAAATGCTATAAAATCCCAACCCTGATAATAATATAGTTCTATAATATTTCTGTGAGTTATCAATAACTATATCTAAGTATCATAACTATTATTATGAATTATCATTTACACATAGCTGACATAGCTACTATGACCCGCGATTACGCACGTGCCATGAGAGCGTTGAAGGTACAGTAATTTCAGATAATTTGAACAATAAAAGATAATATGCACAGCTAAATTTAAAATCAAACCCCTATGTCTGTAATAGTCTTTATGTTACTCATCTTTATTAATAAACTAGTATTACATTCATATAACACCACAATTACCGAAACATTGACTGGTTCATGATAACAAATCACTTTGCATATAATATTAACCATATAACTATTAACTAATTAGAATATTAATATATATATATTATTATATGAAATAAATATATATTGTACTAAATACATTTTGATATATATGTATATTTATTATAATTAATGTACTTTATTATTATGATATAATAAATTACAAGGTACTTACTATTTCCGCAACCATAATCCTGAATCAAATTATTTTTGAACAGTTTAGCGCCTTCAATAATACACTCGTGGGATAAAGCAGCTTTTTTCGGCATAATTTATAAATGCGTAAGTAGGTATTATATTATATGAATGAAATTATAATATATTATACCAACTACAATACAACAATTAATAAAAAAAACTATTGTCATTTCTAATGAAAATGATAATAATTTGTAGATAAGGTTATAATGATAATATCCACGCTGTGTCCAAAATGTGCGTATAATTAATCAATAACAAATTATCGTCAATGATAAACAACGGGAATCCCCAAAAAATTACAATATACATTTCATAACTATGTTTAACAAAACTGATTACACGATTAGTGATTACACGGTTGTGTTATAAACAACCGGACATGGGATATTATTTTTCTAATAATTTTATAAAAAACCGGAAAAGCGTTCTACTGTAGGTGCTCATGTCGTCGAGTAGATTATAATCTAAAATAATAATAATAAATACGTAGTACACATAACATTAATTTATGAGAAACAGAATTATATAAATGCAGTGTTTCGAAACACAGTATAAACAGTTCAATATCAGGTGATGGATAAACCGAAAAAAGTACCTAGAAAGAAATTAAACTTAATCATAAAAGTTTTTTTATCTCATCGGAGGAAAATAACTAGTTTTGGTATAAAGTAAAACAAATTAATAACAAATGCACAGACTATATTATTTTATAAATACTTGTTATAGTTGTAGCTTACATTTAAAATATAAATTAAATAATATAGAGACTTATAAAGTTAACAACAATTATATCTTATATATTATTTTATTTATATCCCAATATAATATAAATAGAATGTAGAGTGTAGTTTGTTGAAAACACGGCATAAGTATCACCGTATCAGAAATTACTAATTAGGTCCGTTCTGGAAATTGTATTATTAGTTATTACCTACCTATCAATGTAACATACATCTTAACCGTTGCCATTTCAAAGAAAAATAAACTTTCTAGTTATATTCCAAATAAGTAATAAATAAATAATAATAATCATTAATCACTATTCACTATAATAGTATAACTTTAGGGCTGGGCCGATATGCAAACCGATATCGATTATAGGCCGATATTGGCGATATCGGTTTTTTTAAAAACCGATATTTGAACCAATAAAAAAAAAAAAAAAACAAACAATTTAATATTTATTATTATATTATGTATAGTATCTAATATAATATTATTATAAATATATTATCTTTTTGTAATATCTAATTACTACTTAGTACTTATTGCTAATTATTATCGGTTATCAGTAAGTATTATCGGGTATTTTATAATATCGATTCATGCGTTTGGATAAAAACTCAAAGTTTTGAATATATCAGTTATCGGTTTTAAATTTGCATAACATATCGGTTTATCGGTTATCGGTTAAACGTGATATCGGTCAATCCCTAAGTATAATACTACGAATTAATAATTACAATATGTCTAATGTCTATATAGTATACTAATTATTAGTATATACTATAATATGTGTATAGTAGGTATAGTAATAAATACAATAATATATACATACCTCCGTCGCGGTTCTCAGAAATATCAATGCAAATAATATACAGTTCGTAAATCACATAAATCATGATGGGAAAATTCATAAATAACTTTTTAAAAATAACTTTTATTTAAACTAAGTTAAGTTACAATTTTTTATAAAAAGAAATAACTTAGTTACCTACTAAGTTATTTTCTACATTCTATTTTTTTTTTAACTAGTTAAGTTAAAAGTTATCAAAACGAGTAACTTTAACTTAACTTTTAACTTTTTAACTAGTTACTGCCCAGCATTGTAAATTACAAAAAAAAAAAACAAAAATCGTTATTCTTGGTTTTAGTACGTAAATTCGTCCAAATTTGAATTTAAAATGTCTGTAAAAAATAAATGTGTTTATATATTTTTTAGATTTTTTGGTGACAGTATGAATTTTTTATAAGAATTTTTGTCTTAAATTATCAACCATTAGTTATAAAAACTGAATATTTTATAATTTTTTAATTACAACGAATGATAATTTTCGAGATTTTGATAATACGGAATTCACCCATTTCTCCAGCCCCCCCGCCCTTAAATGTGCATAACTTTTTGGTTTTCTTTACAAACGAAAGTTTTGCTTTTACAAAACTTTACAAACGACTTACAAACGATTGGGACGAAAAAAGTTTGGGTTACCCAAATTGCATGGAATTCACCCATTTCTCCAGCCCCCCCCCCCCCCCGCCCTTAAATGGGCATAACTTTTTTTGGTTTTCTTTACAAACGAAAGTTTTGCTTTTACAAAACTTTACAAACGACTTACAAACCATTAGTTATGTTTTTATGCTAATTTTTGAAATTGTGGGGGCTGGAGAAATGTCCGTTCATACGAGGGCGAATCGAAAGTGGTTTTCAAGTTATGAACCACTGGACAACATGCAACAAATCACTATTGGTGATGGGACGAATCTGTATGCAGCAGGTAGAGGTACTATTAATATATTATCATACGTAAATGATAATTGGAATAAAAATTACATGGCAAACGTGTTGCACGTGCCGGGACTAAAATTTAATTTATTTTCGTGCGGTGCTGCGATTGATAAAGGTTTAGTAATGACGTCGAAATAGTAAGGCGTGTATGTTAACTAAACAGGGGAAACCCGTATGCTCAGGTAAGAGATGCGGAAGGTTGTTTGAGTTAAACATCAAGGTCGAAGTACCGACAAACGGGTACGCGACTGTAGCTGTCGAAAACAGGTTGTCTGTTTGGCACGAGCGCATGGCACATCAGAATTTACAGTACGTAAAAAGTTGTTTGGCGAAACACGAAATAGTATGTTCGGCCAAGGACGACGAATTCATGTGCAGTAGTTGCATAATAGGTAAACAAAGTCGTAAATCATTTAGTAAAAGTAATACAAAAAGTGGCACGCTTAATGAATGAAGAAGTAGTGACCTGTAGAAATATTAAGTTAATTGATATAGGCCCTTGCAATATACATATAATTCATAATGGATTTCTTAAAGGTGTATTTAAATTAGGTGAAGATGCATCTCAGTTAATTGTTGCTGTTTACTATTATTTTAATGGATGGCCAACCAGATGGGAGGAGTTTACACGTATTTTAGAAAAATTAGATCTACCAATACTTCATTTCATAAAGCATGTACCCTCAAGATGGTTAACAATCTATAATTCTTCCAAAAGACTTATTGAAAACTGGACAGCAGTTGAAAAATATTTTTTGGATTTTATACCAAAAGAAAAATCGTCCCTATTATCAACAAATAGTTATAAAAAAATAAGAGAAGCTCTTATTACACCAAATATGAAATGTGAAGTGTTGTTTTTACAAAGTAGTTCTCAAATATTCACAAATTACACTGGAAATATGCAGAAAAGAAGAGCCTCTTGTGCATATTATGTACAGTGAACTTTACACATTAATGTACATATTAATGAGTAAAATGTTTAAACCAGATAAAATTCCCAAGCCTTTTTCAAATGTAAACGTTGATGAATTGTTTAAAATTGAAAATCTTGTAACAGTAAAAAATGTGGTTGTAAGTGAAAAAATTAAAGAAGAATTTAAAATTTTAAAAACAACAGAAAAAGATATGTTAATATTTTTGAAAAATGCACAGCAACACTATTTAGAAGCATGCAAACATATTTTGTTAAAGTCATCAATTACAAATTCTTTTCTAAAAAAATTGCGTTGTCTAGGTCCCATAGAAAGATGTAAGAATAGAAGTATTAGCCAATTGTTAAACATTTGTAAATATTTGCCTTTCCATGTTGATACAGATGTTTTAATAAACGAGTGGACGCTATCAAAACTGGAAAAAGTCGATGAAAAATCTACTGAATTGAGAATAGATCATTATTGGAAACAATTTTTTACCAAAACAAATTTATCAGGAGGTGAGAAATATCCAAATGTGTCAAAAATTGTCAAGGCTTGTTTATCTCTAGTCCATGGAAGCGCTGACATAGAACGAAGCTTTTCTTGTTCTGGTAGGATTTTAACAGAAGATCGAGTATCAATGTGTGAAAGGACATTGAATGCGATTCTTTATAGTAAAGATGCTCTAAAACATTACAATAATAAATTACATTTGGTATTAATTACTAAAGAACTTATAAATATGGCTAGAGGAGCATATTTGCATTATAAAGATTATTTGGAAGACAAGAAAAAATTCAAGAACAAAATAAAAAAACCGAAGAAGAAGAATTGGCAAAAACATTACTGTTTGAAGAACAACAAAAACAATTAAAAGAAGATAAAAATAATAAAATAGAAAAAGAAAAGTCACTGAAAAATTTAAGATATGAAGAAAATAGGAAACGCCATGCAGCGGACAAATTGTTTTTTGAAGCCAATAAACGCTTAAAAACAGCTGTATCAAATAACAATATTGCAGAAGTTGAAATTGCTCAAGCTATGCTTGACGGTGTAAACACAATTCGCAAAGAAGAAGAATAAATCAAGAAAAAAGAAGCAGACACTCTTCAAAATATATTGGAAAAAAAGAAAATAAAGCTCATAGATAGTTTGTCCAATAAAAATGAAAAAAAATAAAAGACTGGTTTAAAGATCTAATTTTACATGTTGAAGTATTTAGTAATAGGATAATTAGTATTTTAAGACTTATATGTTCATTCAGACATTGTTAATTTTTCAATTTAGTTAATTATAATACTATTAATTATTATACCAAAAAGAAATTAAATTGTGTTACCTTCTATTCTATATAAGGATTAGATAGTTTGTTATTATTTTAATAAGGGTTAAAGTTTATACCAATAATTTGTTGTTAATTTATATAATATGTTAACTAAAAAGAAATATAATTTGTGTTATTATTACATTAGTTAAAAAGGAATGTTATTTATGTTATTATTACATTTGTTGAAAAGGAATGTTATTTATGTTATTATTGCATTTGTTAAAAAGGAATGCTATTTATGTTATTATTACATTTGCTAAAAAGGAATGTTATTTATGTTATTTTTACATTTATTAAAAAGAAATGAAATGTTATTTATGTTATTATTACATTTGTTAAAATAAAATGTAATTTGATTGTAACATTAATTATTTGTCAAATTTTGATTTAATATTGAACACTTGTAGAAGTTTATATTTTAAGATGGTAAATTATGATAATAAGGCATCTTATTTCAAGTTACTTTTTTTACTTTTCCTAAGATTTTTGTCACTTAAGTCACTTTTTTTCTGTGTGTATTGCTATCAGCACTAGTATTCGTAAATAAAGAAATGACGGGTATTTTGCAAAAACACAGGATCAGTTAACAGTTCCCTACACACCACAGCAAAATGGAAAAGTGGAACGGGAAAATTGTACAATAGTAGAGTCAGCGAGGACAATGATTTGTGCGAAAAATTTGGATGTATCACTTTGGGCGGAGGCGGTAAACACGGCTGTTTACACGCTTAATCGAACAGGAACCAGTTCAGTTAAAAATAACTCACCATACGAGTTATATTATAAGGTAATACCAGACATTAAACATTTACGAGTTTTTGGTACTGTCGTATATACACACATACCAAAACAAAAACGTAAAAAGTGGGACCCTAAAAGTGAAAAAGGAATTTCAGGTCGAAATCATATTTTATTAAAAAACGACGCTGTTCCTACAATTTTAAAAAAACAACAGAAAACATTAATGTAGAACATTGATTGCATAAGAAGAATTGCATAAAATGAAAACCCTACGTCCTCACATGCTATAGATACTAATATACAACTAGTTGATTCAGCAATTTTATTGGAAGAAAATTCTATAGATGTGCAGCATGAAGACGCTTATATGGTGGAAAAGTCTGAAGCCGCACCCTGTAAGCGACCGAAAAGAAAACTTACTTATGGCTTAGTTGAAACTGAAAATAATATTTAAATATTTTTAACATACAAGATTATTATAATATTGTTACAAGATTTTCAATTTTAAACAATTCATCAACGTTTACATTTGAAAAAGACTTGGGAATTTTATCTGGTTTAAACATTTTACTCATTAATATGTACATTAATGTGTAAAGTTCACTGTACATAATATGCACAAGAGGCTCTTCTTTCTGCATATTTCCAGTGTAATTTGTGAATATTTGAGAACTACTTTGTAAAAACAACACTTCACATTTCATATTTGGTGTAATAAGAGCTTCTCTTATTTTTTTATAACTATTTGTTGATAATAGGGACGATTTTTCTTTTGGTATAAAATCCAAAAAATATTTTTCAACTGCTGTCCAGTTTTCAATAAGTCTTTTGGAAGAATTATAGATTGTTAACCATTTTGAGGGTACATGCTTTATGAAATGAAGTATTGGTAGATCTAATTTTTCTAAAATACGTGTAAACTCCTCCCATCTGGTTGGCCATCCATTAAAATAATAGTAAACAGCAACAATTAACTGAGATGCATCTTCACCAAATTTAAATACACCTTTAAGAAATCCATTATGAATTATATGTATATTGCAAGTGCCTATATCAATTAATTTAATATTTCTACAGGTCACTACTTCTTCATTCATTAAGCGTGCCACTTTTTTATTAACATTCGGGCTGTCGGATCCTAATATCAACATTTTACTCAATGGTAAATTAGCTTGATCTAAAGCTTGAATTATTTTTTCAAATAATATCTCAGCAGTTGCTTTTCCAATAAAATAGGTGACTAAATGTTGAGATAATCCATATTTTTTGAACTAGAATAGTACCGAATTAAAATCTGTAACTCTTTGTTTTCACTTGAGTTAGTGGTTTCATCATATATGATACTAAAATATTCATTTGTTACATCTTTATATAATTGTTGCTGAAAGTGAGGCCCAATGACATCAGTTATTAAGTACTTCATTTTTGAACGACTCATGGAAAATCCTTTAGGCAAAGCATTAGAAAACATACATTGGAATAAGTCAGTGATACCATCACTTGCAGAAAATGAAAAATTACTAACAATATATTTAAACGCCCACATAACTTCAGCAATAACACTTTTGTCACAAACACTATACAAATGTATACCCGAGTTGTCTTTTTCTTTTAACTCACTGGATTGTACAGTTGTAGAAGTTGCTGCTAGTCTTAACTGTTTAGTATTCAATTTAATTTTAACAGCATTACTATGCTTAACAGAACCTGCATGTTGTGTTAAAGCCTGGAAACCTTTATTAGAAACACTGATTGATGTTTGGCAAAGAATACAAAAATCCTGGACATCTGAATGTTTTCTTGACCACTCGGAAATTGTATTACAATTGTTATGCCCATCACTTTTCAAAAACCAATCATCACGCACAGAACATTTGCCAAAAGAAAAATATATAGTAAATATCACTAGTAAAAACTTAGAACTATAAAATAAATTCCTACTTAAACAATAGACATTAATAACGAATTATCAAATAAATAATATTTGATATTTGAATATTATTATAACGAAATAATATTAATAGCAATAAAATAAAAATATTACAGGCTACAACAGTAGTACCAACACGAATGCCACTGATGTCTAGGTTCAATCAACTGATAAGCCAAGTCAATAGCTGAATAAGAAATATATATATATGATATAAAATATAATATTATTATGATCGTATTAAGAAATATCAAAAAATTAAGAAAAGATACCATAATTACGAAAAAGTAAATAAAAGTGATTAATAAAAAAAAAAGTGACTAAAAGTGAGAAAAGTGAGTCGCTACCAGTGCTGGAATTCTAATCCATTATCCGTTCTTAATATTTTGACCTTAGAACCTGTTTCTGTTTCAAACTTTTTATGAACGTCTCAAAAATATTTTTAACATCAAATTTATTTTTAATAAAATATACCGTTCTATAATGCGAGTAGTCGTCTTTGAATAACAAGAAGTATTTTGAACCGCCTATAGAGGTTACCTCCATTGGTCCACATAGGTCTGCATGAATTAAATCACCGACATTGTGATACTCCGTATTACTTTTACTAAATGATTTAAGACTTTGTTTACTTATTATACAACTACTGCACATGAATTCGTCGTCCTTGGCCAAACATACTATTTCGTGTTTCGCCAAACAACTTTTTACGTAATGTAAATTCTGATGTGCCATCCGCTCGTGCCAAACTGACAATCTGTTTTCGACAGCTACAGTCGCGTACCCGTTTGTCGTTACTTCGACCTTGATGTTTAATTCAAACAACCTTCTGCATCTCTTACCTGAGCATACGGGTTAAACTTTTATTTACTTTGAGACTTATTAATTGGTTACTATTTATCAATAATTATAACATAGGTAGGTGTCTACCTACATAAATTATTCACAATTAGTTTTAATCAAATAAAAGAATAGGTAGGTACCTACCTAATATAAAATAATTAATAATTAACGATTTTAACTCATAAAAATTGTTTATTAATTTTGGTTCAAAATATATGCATCTACATGTTGTTTGATGGAACAATAAATATATAAGCTTCAAAATAAAAATAAATAGGTATGTAAGAAAGTTGAATACTGTTGAAGATACATCAGCATGTGGTGGTAGGTTATGATTTATTAAGGTGTCCATAACTACCTAGATTTTTTTAATACTTACCTAACTTTTATTGCACTTATTCATAATATGAAGCAAGCCGACCACTTCTCCCGAAACAATGAATTGAATAGATATAGGATATACCTATTATTATTGTTATAATTGGACGGATCGAGTGATTGTAAACGACTAATATTATGAATAAAATAACGACTAGTAATAAATAATAATTATATTAAATACTTACGTTATATATTATACACTGGATTACATATACTGGTAACTGGATAGACGGAAACTGGAAAACAAGTAACAACCACAAACGAAATCGGTGTTCAATACAACTCAAGCGATTCCGGCGTTCAAGTCTAGTGTCTACATGACGACAAGATGCAAACGGATGAAATGTCAAAAAATCTAACACTATTAACCATCAGTCGCTATATTATAGCCAGTACCTATGTATTGTAAACATTTAAAACATGATAAAACGAATATCTATTAATAATCTCGGATACCGAAAACTCAAACATCACAAAAAAAAGATAATTATAATATAGTAGGTATAATAATATACCACTTTCGTGACTGGTTGCGTTCGCCAGCGCGCATCCCCCACCATGTACCGCCGGTTTGCAACGAACGCACGACTGCTGTACAGTCAGCTCGTTGTGGACTGAGTGCCACTGACTATATACAGCTGGTTCAAATTATCAAAACTATAATAATATACATCGTATTTACTCTTGCCGCCACGCGATAGCTGTTGTAAACAATATATTTGAACCCGGTGTAAACTTGGCCGACAGTTTCGATCGGTGACCATCATGCATGATCGAGAGCGCGAGAGTGGGAGAAATTGAGCTCGGAACTGCCGTTGCTCGTCAGTTGCGATGTGCGCAAGCGGCGTATATTCTTTTTTGAAACAGTCTCAGTTACTTAGAACTTGAGTACACTGTTTCGTATATTAATATAATAAAGTCTTTGCATAAAACTAATCAACAATTTATAATATTGTATAGGTTATGTAGAAAATGTAAAATAAGGCGTTTTAATTGCTAATACGCAATATTATAATTTATAATACATATCATATTATATTATTAATATTATTAGAAACGACTGTTGATTATAAATAATGAAACATTCGTTTTTACACCAATACAATGTACAACAGTATAAATAATGATAATGTAAGGTCTCTTGGATAGTTAGATACTATGGGCGCAATGCGCAAATTACTATACATAGGTATACTACCAAAAATATAGAGATCGAAAAATGCTATTCAGTATTCTTTTCTAGGTACCTCTTCACTGTGGAGCAGTGCTCGAAAATCAAAATAAACAATTTTACGAACCAGAACACTCATAAAATTAATACGAGGATAATAATATTCATTTTTAATTTGTCTTAATTTTTGTTTACTCGATAGTAAATTGGGTATTTTTACAGTGTTTTGCCTTTTATTGCAGTCATGACTTTAATATTGTAGAGTAGCCCCTAAGTATACTTCTAGCATTTTCGATCATAACTACATTGTTATTCCCTAATAACAATTTTTGACGAGGGATTAAAAAGGGTAAAGCCGTTTCATATCTTATTTTAATCATGTTTGTGGATATCTCTAAGGCATCTTGTAGATCCCTAAAGGATATCGAGTTAAAATTAAAATAGAAAGTACAAAACAGGACATCTTTAGAACGGCCAAATGATATCTTAAAATATGACATTTGTATTATCAAGTTTTGAACGAAATGCTATCTGTAAGATATCCCGTAGCGATAATGATAGTACGACTATCATTTATTATTATTTTATTTATCATTTACTTAAATTAGATATTTCACGAACGTGGTGACCACGTGAGTACTGAGTCGCGATCGCGAATCCGCCAATAGTTATAACCATTACCATTATAATTTATATTTTATAAGTTAGCTTAATATAATTATAATTATTATTATTATTCGGACGGTTCAACGAATTTACGATGGAAGACCACCACAACAGGTATATCTACGTGCATACATTTCTTGTAGAGTTTTTCATTTAGAGTTCAATAATTATATTATGAACGTTGAAACAACCAACCACTCATTACTGACGATATTAATTAATTGAGATTAATCTATTATTGTTGAGTAATATTTGTTTTAATGAAAGGGATACACATTATTTAGTTTGTAGAATTTTTCAGCTGTTAAGCGTCCATGACAATAAAGGTCGCAACACACTGGAGCGGTGGCGTTAAATTAACGCTGGCCACATTTCACCGCTCACCGCCGTGGTAAAGCCAAGAGAATAGAATTTAGCTAGCGAGGGGTAAACACCTTGGGGGTAATCAGTGTACATAAGGTGATGGTAATCATAGGTAATCATAGGTAATCTTTGTAGTAAATCATGGGTAATCATAGGTATAATCTTCGAAATCAGTAATCTGGTGTACAAACTTTCTGTCAGGTATTTACCCCTCGGAATTTAGTATTTACCGCCACCGCTCCAGTGTGTGTTGACCTTAACAGTGTTAAATAATAATTCTCTAATTAATGAACTGTTATAATTTGACTGTACCTATAAATAAGTTGATAAGTCATAACACAGCTGTTCTTAATTTATTGTATTCATTATTTTAATTTTTAATACCTATTATAATATAATTATATAATAAGGTAAATAATAAAAGTTCAAATGTACATATACTGTGAATATTAAAATGAAACATAAGTATTACCACATACTATATGAATTGTTCGTATAGTCTGCAGTATTATATGTTATAATAATGTATGGTATATAGGTACTATAGTATAGCATAGACAGAAGTCTATACAGTAGCATTTTATAATAATTTAATATATCGCTATTATTTTAGTAATATTACAAATAATGTCAACATTTGATAACATAATTTACTAATAAATTAATTTATATAAAATACTGTATACACTTCCAAGATCCCTATAACTGCTTAAAAAAGATTTATTTTGTAACTTTTTTCTATTTAAGTTATAGCCTTTGTAGGTATAAATTTAATTAATAAATAAGGTGACTAGGAAATACAATTTGAAGTAGATCCATGATAAACTATATAATTACATCAGACAATAATACCTATCATCTTAAAAATATAAAATCGTATATTTTGGAATTTTTTTTTTGTTTTTTATATACTAATGTGTAGATACTAGATAGGTATAGGTACCTAGCTATTATATCAATATTATCTTTAAACATAACTGGGGCCCTACTCAATTGCCAAATCATATATTTTTTCTTTGAAATATAATTCAACTAAATAAAATACTCTTTTATATTCTTTTATTAATTTCAGAAATAATTTACGGTCAAAAAAATCACTTCTTGATTTGTCAAAAAGACAAATTCGAAATCGCTTAAAATTAAAAATTGAACAACTAAATAAAAATAATCAATTGAAATCACAATATGATTATTCTTCTGGTATAAATGTTACTATTAAACCTTGTAATTATATTCACCAAAATAACAATAAAAAAACTGAAATAAAGGTTGAAGTAACTCAAAAACTAAATACTGATACTAGTAACTGATACCATTGCTATTGTTGACGAATCATTTGATTCAGAACATGAAGTTTCTCCAAATGTACATTCTACAGAATTTAGTAATTCTACTTCATCGTTTCATGAAATTTCAGTAAATACTTCAATGAATGAATTCAGTAAAACAAAATTAGAAATAAACCATAGTATCCCATATCATGAAGATATTTTCAGGGAAACTTTAGCATCTCAAACTAGTGTATCTCAAACTAATGACAATTTTGAAATAAATTTTGTCAATAATATATCTCG